AAAAATATAAAAATATAATATATTGCATTGTCTCTCAAGTAACGTTCGGTAACGGTAATTACTATTAATAGCAGATAAACTCTATTTCCATACTAATCCATTTTTTAAAAATATAATATATTGCATTGTCTCTCAAGTAACGTTCGGTAACGGTAATTACTATTAATAGCAGATAAACACTATTTCCACTTTAATATACTAATCCACTAATATATACTACGATTCGGTAACGGGATGGATATGGTAAAAAAATCCTCCTTCGGTTTTTACGTTTAACCAGTCGCGCGGAAATAAGTTCACTTCCGAAGCGTGTTACTGCGGAACGACAGGATTTTCTATTTCCTTTATTATATGAAAAATCCCTTCGCGCGATTCGCGCGCGGAAACGACCGGCCACGTAAAGAGTGGTCACGTTTTACAATAAATTCCACGCACTGACGGCCGACACGACTTTTCTATTAGCTCAAACGACGAAAACTTTGGCCGGTTGATTTCGTATACGCGACAGCGTAATCACGTAACACCGACCTAGGTGTTGTTACCCTATATCAATGACGCACACGCGAGTTGACATAACGAGCCTCGAGATGAGTCGGCAGATCCCCCGCAACCACTTCATCAAGCGTCGTTAGAGAAGCTGTCAATCGCAAAGCCGTCATCCCGTCAAACCCTTTCAATGACTCGTATCGCTCGTCAACGCCTCTTCAGAATCCCACCCGTTCGAGTCTCCAGTGTCTGAACTATTGACTTTATACACGAGCGATATCGAGCCTCCAAAATTCAATTCTCGTTTATTTGAGATTATGATTATCGAGCTTATTATATAGAATATATCGCGAATTTTAAATATCTTTAAAAGAGACAAAAGATAAGAAGATTTTTATTACACATTATACACTCTCTACATTACGTGCTTTTCTCTCCCAGAGAGATAAAATTAATTTTTTATTTATCTAACTTTTTTTCATATCTAATCTTTGTTAACAGAATGAAAAAAATATCCTCTCTCCTTCTTTATTACTAGCAACCGGTGATAAAGTAAAAAAGAGTTAGAAAGAAGGCGTTTATAAAACTAACTTATTGCGCTTTAAAAGAGTAAGCACATCTATCAGGCGCTTCGCAACAGAAGCAAGACAAGCGACAAATCGGCGGGTGGTCATGAAGAAAGAGGATTTCCGTAGGAATGAAAAATGCACGATGTAGATCGATGGACGTTCTCTCGATGGGAATAGCCGGTTACGTTGACGCCCAACATCGCGGCCGTGGAAAGCTCCGTACAAACAGGACCGATCTTGCGGTCATTCTTCGTCGTAATTACCGAGAAGATAAGAGAACGTGGGATGCGAAGATTGAGGGAAAGGAATCGGAGAAGGGAGTCGATAGATATGGCGGATGATAGCGGAGGCTTATAAGTGGCACGAGTGGAAGCGATCTTTTCCGAGAATAATGCGCGGTCCCCGGGGAGTTGGCTTTCAGGAAAATGCTGATTGCTTCCCCGCTCTCGCGCTCCTTTCTGCCTTCATACCAATTCTCCATCCGCCTGTCCTTCCCCTTCCTCCCTCCCACCATTCCACTCTATCAATCTTCGACTTCGTCAGCAGCGAAGATGTATAAGCCTCCCCTCCCGTGACCATTTTATACGTATGCGTGCGTACGTGCGTCTCCACGATTTCTTTTGCGGTATCGGTCCTTAAACGGTCGCCTTATCTCACGGTACCAACCGCCCCGTTTTCTTTTCGTACGCGTACCTCGTAAAAATCGGACACAGGGATGCGCTCATCGGTCTTATTACCTGATGATTCTTTTCGCTATGAAAAATGCGGTTATCCGTAAAGGTGTGTCGTGAGAGGTATATATTTGAATCATATCTAATATTTTAAATCGGAGAAGAGACGTGTCCGTTAGAGATATAATGCATCAAAGTAACGTTTCAAATCGCCTTACAATGACTTTTCTTAATAAAAATAGGGTGAAGTACCGTGAGCGCGCGAGACAGTCGCTGAGAGTCGCAATAGCCTTTGAAGCTTGCCTTTTCAAAGGCCGAGCGTGAAAATTAGGTGGGCTAAAAGCGTGGGGTAACCGAGTTATTACGAATAAAAGAGAAGCGGGCATCGCGCGCGCGGAACGGCAGGGCGGTGGAGGCACTATTAAAAGCCTGTAATTAATGCGGTTAATTGTATTGCGCTAAACGAACGTCGAGTCGATAGCGTTCCAGCGAGACGAAACGGAAGTGAGCATTCTGAAAAACTTTGACAATTAAGATTGCTGTTCTCACAATCGTCGTATAAATGTCATATATTATGAAAAGAAAAAAATTGACGTTGAAGAGACGAGTAAATGGCAAAAATGAAAATCTTTGAAAGAAACTACTTTTTATAATGTACCTTTTATAATTTATACTTTTTATAATATTATTCATTTAGAATTATAGAATTATTTTTTATACTATTTTTTTTTTTACTTCATACAAAAATTTTTAAAAAATCTGTCCATTATATTTCACAAAGCAATAATTAAATAATACATGAAATAAATATTATAAATGTTATTCATACATGCGCGAAAAATTCATGTGTGAAATCTGCAAAAATATGAAACAGAAACCATCGCAAGCGTTTCAAAACCAAAATGTAAAAGATAAGTGAAATGCGATTCGAGCAATTTGAAAAAGGAAATTGCGAAGGAGTAGATCGTAATTTTGACCATTTTCCACAATTGACAGTTTTCAGCGCGAAGACGATTTTATCTTCTGTTAAGGCAAATGCGTCTTTTCTGGCATTCAGACCTACTTCCGTCCCGTTCAAGACTTCTTTCAACGAGAAGCGACTCAATTTTATTGCAGAATGTTGCTTAGGCAATAGTACTGAAGAAAGAGAATGTCTTGTTCTTTTACGGTGTCAATAGAGTCACTGTATAAATTTAAATTATTATTTTATTAAGTTTATAAATATTATGATTGTCTTTTAACGGTTAACGTTCCATTTTCAAGAAAAAGATTTTTTTATATATAAGATTATTTTAGCAATAAAATTCCTACAGTAAATATAGTAATTTTCAAAAGAAACATTTCTTTTGACACTTTATTATTTGCACCACGAGATTAGTATCCGCAAATGATAAAATACACATCTTCTTGGGAAGTAAAGATCGACAAGTGTAGTTAGTTTAACGAAAACCTAATGGGAAAAAGTCTTCAAGGAGCGTACGCGGTAAAGTGTCAACGCAATACGGGACTCGATTGTTCATCTTTGTAAAAGGACATTTCGTCGAATCACCCAGAGAGAGAAATCTCAGGATTTCTCTTTCTCTCTCATTTATTTCTCGTAATTTCTATTTACCCGCTTCGATTTCTATCGAGAATAGAGCCGATGTAAAGGTGGTGAAATCTAACAAAATTTTATTACGTATTATTTCACATTTTTCGTTATCTGCTAATGTTGTAGAACATCGACAGAAGGATAAAATTTGAGAATGGGAGGTGGAGAATGGAGCAGTTGGTTGCAACGATGCCGACAATCTCGGAAACTCGTTCTCGTCATCGTTGCCATCGCGTTGCTTTTGGATAATATGTTGCTAACAACTGTAGGTAAGTGGCCTTATTTATTATATTGTACGAAATTAATTAATTACGACTCTGTCATATCTTTGATACATTTTTAATATATAGTACATAGTATTATTGTGATCAATGCTTAAACAGTTACGTCATTTTATTTTCGACATTTTGAGAATTCAAACTTTGATAAAAAAATTTGAATAGTATTTATTTTGTCACAGTCAGCTGCTTATGTAGCAGCTGTATTGATAAACTCTTATTATTCTTCTTTAATTTTATTGATTGTGAGTATATTACAGCAGATTTATAAGTTAATTTCTCACTCTTTCTGGCAGCTTCGTTTTTAGTTAGGTTTCGAAGCTGCCTTAGACTATAACTTTAAATTCCAGTGGGTCAAGCACTGAGACTCATTAATTTCATTAACCTTCTCTCAACGTGGTCCATTATAAGATAGACGAGAATTTTAGAAATAATCAAATCATAATAAAGAGATATTCTATTAAAATTATTATGATTAATTTTATTAGAACGAATAAAATTGTTAATACTAACAAATGTGAAAATATACTATATAGAACAACTGATTCATAAAAATAAGGAGGAAATAGAAGAACTTTTTTTGTCGATCACGATATTTAATGCTTTCATATTATCACGGGGTTAACTCGGCTTTTTTGGTTTTTAACGCTGCTTCCAGTCCTCTCGGATCCTATCGATGGAGACCACTTTTCTTGGTCGCGTGATCATATGTTTAATTCAGAAAACGTTCGCGTTTATCGTACCAGTCCGCGGAACGTCGACGGAACGTATGGACTTTCATGTATCGTGCCACCAATCCGGATAAGTGGTCATGCATTTATGTAACATTGCGTATAGATCGTGATCGTTACGTACAAATATTCACGAATGTCGTCACGTTTGTCGAACAAATCGCGAGATCCACTTCCAATCATTATATATATATATAAATTCTAATAATGAAATGTATGTGTATATTTTTACGTATACCATATATAATTCTCATTAGCACAATAAATATCATAAAGTTTCCATTCACAATGTCATTTTGATATTATTATCTCTCACACCTTATATAGTGTTATAAATAAATCATTTCGTTTTTTTTTTCAAAATTATTAAAGAATTTTGATCATAATTTCCAAAATAAAATTCATGAGGGAAAGTATCGTCAGACAAAAAGGAAGCTTGGAGGTGCTGGGATTTGAACGGCATTCAGACCTACTTCCGTCCCGTTCAAGACTTCTTTCAACGAGAAGCGACTCAATTTTATTGCAGAATGTTGCTTAGGCAATAGTACTGAAGAAAGAGAATGTCTTGTTCTTTTACGGTGTCAATAGAGTCACTGTATAAATTTAAATTATTATTTTATTAAGTTTATAAATATTATGATTGTCTTTTAACGGTTAACGTTCCATTTTCAAGAAAAAGATTTTTTTATATATAAGATTATTTTAGCAATAAAATTCCTACAGTAAATATAGTAATTTTCAAAAGAAACATTTCTTTTGACACTTTATTATTTGCACCACGAGATTAGTATCCGCAAATGATAAAATACACATCTTCTTGGGAAGTAAAGATCGACAAGTGTAGTTAGTTTAACGAAAACCTAATGGGAAAAAGTCTTCAAGGAGCGTACGCGGTAAAGTGTCAACGCAATACGGGACTCGATTGTTCATCTTTGTAAAAGGACATTTCGTCGAATCACCCAGAGAGAGAAATCTCAGGATTTCTCTTTCTCTCTCATTTATTTCTCGTAATTTCTATTTACCCGCTTCGATTTCTATCGAGAATAGAGCCGATGTAAAGGTGGTGAAATCTAACAAAATTTTATTACGTATTATTTCACATTTTTCGTTATCTGCTAATGTTGTAGAACATCGACAGAAGGATAAAATTTGAGAATGGGAGGTGGAGAATGGAGCAGTTGGTTGCAACGATGCCGACAATCTCGGAAACTCGTTCTCGTCATCGTTGCCATCGCGTTGCTTTTGGATAATATGTTGCTAACAACTGTAGGTAAGTGGCCTTATTTATTATATTGTACGAAATTAATTAATTACGACTCTGTCATATCTTTGATACATTTTTAATATATAGTACATAGTATTATTGTGATCAATGCTTAAACAGTTACGTCATTTTATTTTCGACATTTTGAGAATTCAAACTTTGATAAAAAAATTTGAATAGTATTTATTTTGTCACAGTCAGCTGCTTATGTAGCAGCTGTATTGATAAACTCTTATTATTCTTCTTTAATTTTATTGATTGTGAGTATATTACAGCAGATTTATAAGTTAATTTCTCACTCTTTCTGGCAGCTTCGTTTTTAGTTAGGTTTCGAAGCTGCCTTAGACTATAACTTTAAATTCCAGTGGGTCAAGCACTGAGACTCATTAATTTCATTAACCTTCTCTCAACGTGGTCCATTATAAGATAGACGAGAATTTTAGAAATAATCAAATCATAATAAAGAGATATTCTATTAAAATTATTATGATTAATTTTATTAGAACGAATAAAATTGTTAATACTAACAAATGTGAAAATATACTATATAGAACAACTGATTCATAAAAATAAGGAGGAAATAGAAGAACTTTTTTTGTCGATCACGATATTTAATGCTTTCATATTATCACGGGGTTAACTCGGCTTTTTTGGTTTTTAACGCTGCTTCCAGTCCTCTCGGATCCTATCGATGGAGACCACTTTTCTTGGTCGCGTGATCATATGTTTAATTCAGAAAACGTTCGCGTTTATCGTACCAGTCCGCGGAACGTCGACGGAACGTATGGACTTTCATGTATCGTGCCACCAATCCGGATAAGTGGTCATGCATTTATGTAACATTGCGTATAGATCGTGATCGTTACGTACAAATATTCACGAATGTCGTCACGTTTGTCGAACAAATCGCGAGATCCACTTCCAATCATTATATATATATATAAATTCTAATAATGAAATGTATGTGTATATTTTTACGTATACCATATATAATTCTCATTAGCACAATAAATATCATAAAGTTTCCATTCACAATGTCATTTTGATATTATTATCTCTCACACCTTATATAGTGTTATAAATAAATCATTTCGTTTTTTTTTTTCAAAATTATTAAAGAATTTTGATCATAATTTCCAAAATAAAATTCATGAGGGAAAGTATCGTCAGACAAAAAGGAAGCTTGGAGGTGCTGGGATTTGAACCCAGGACTTTCAGCATGCGAAGCAGACACTCTACCACTGAGTTACACCCCCGGTTAACAAGACACCTTTTGAATACGCTTTAGAGACGTGTTGAGCTATTCTACTTTTATTTCGTGAGAAATTCTATATTATACAAAATGAAAAGGATAATATGCTTCTATACAATTGGATTATATTTGATTTTAATGGAAATTTTTTTAAATAGAAGAATTTTTAAATTTTTTATATAATTTATTGATTTTTTTCGCTCTATCTTTTTAATTTTATATAAATAATATTAAAAGCTATCTTACATGAATTCTAATCTGCCTAAATGAATTTTTATAGTTCCAATAATACCGGAATTTCTCTACGACATTAAACACCCCAATGCAACATTAAGCGAACATTTGGAAGGAAGCGCCTCTCATCAAACTACGATTCCTACCACCGTGTCACCAACAACAACGACAAAAACAACAACGCCAAAATGCCCTTGTGCTCAAAACATATCGGTTCTTCCTCAATTGGAATTTCTACACGTTACCACTCCTTCTATGGATGTATCGGGTAAAATATGTTTGATCGCCTTATATGTTGAATCATTACAAAAACAAAAAATTTTATTTTATAAAAAATATTATATTGATATTAAAATGGCAAATTTTTTGTGAATTTATTTTTAATTTACTGCATTGCAAATGCTTTAAGTGAATCAAGATTATTTTAAGGCTACATATGTATATTGATTCAATGCATGAAAAAATATAGAAAACAATATTGCATTTTTAGAAAAAAAGAAAAAAGGGATAGAAAAAATAAAGATTTTTCCATTCAGCTACAAAATCTTTCAACGCACTCAACAAAATGACAAACTTTACTAATCCTTTTCATTTTAGAAGTTACTGTAGCCAATTTTACATCGGCGGAGACGAAGGAAAAGGAACAAAGACATCGGGAATTATTAGAAGAGACAGTGGCAGTGGGAATGATGTTTGCTTCTAAAGCTTTTGTTCAATTGTTAGCTAATCCTATAGTTGGACCATTAACTCACAAGTAAGCATTGCATCTTTGCACAATTTTTTTTACTCGGAATATTTTAGATTGGCAAAAGATAATTTATCAAATAAAATTTTAAAACAAAATTATATATATAGTTCAAAGAGTAATTTTTATAAATTAAAATAATCATTACGGAAAAGGCATTTTCTCTGCCTAATAAACGATTTTCTAATCTCTTTTTGAACAAATTCAAATTAATACTTTTATTTTAATTTTATTTTATTTATAGAATTTAATAGAAAAGCAAATATCTCGCTTTAATCTAATATAATCAAGAAACCATTATATTAAATGCAAATAAAGTATATCGCATTTAATAAGATTTATTATTTTTCAGAATCGGATATAGCATACCTATGTTCACCGGATTTATTATCATGTTTCTATCAACGTTAATTTTTGCTTTCGGGCGAAGTTACGGCATACTTTTTCTAGCGCGAGCTCTTCAGGGTATCGGTTCGTCATGTTCCAGCGTTTCTGGTAAAGATTTATTTTCCTATTTGTCCATATCAACCGAGTATTTAAGAAATACAACATTATTAAGTAATGAAAACTACTTTTGTATGTGTTAGAATTATTTCACATAATTCTATATAAATATCGGTGGTTCAGTGATGCAAAAACATATTTTTGCTATTTTTTGTTTTCAAGCATTTTCCAAAGGTTTCACTACAATCTTCAAAATTTCAATGATCTATTTCCGATACAAAAACCTTATTATACTAGAGATTCGACAAGATTTTGACTTTAGATAAAGATCAAAGCTGCCAATGGGTAACATATCCAATAATTATATTATATTGATTACCAAAAAAAATAAAATTTGTAAAAAGATTGCATCGGCCGGGAATCGAACCCGGGCCGCCCGCGTGGCAGGCGAGCATTCTACCACTGAACCACCGATGCTGTTACAATCTGTTTTAATCTTCGCACGATTACATATAACACGCTCGTAATACTTCATAATGTTCAACTTTCTCTCAGGTATGGGTATGTTAGCGGAAAGGTATCAAGACGATAAAGAACGCGGTAACGCAATGGGTATCGCATTAGGCGGATTGGCTCTCGGTGTCCTTATCGGCCCCCCCTTCGGTGGAGTAATGTATGAATTTGTAGGAAAATCTGCCCCATTCTTAGTGCTTTCCGCATTAGCTCTTGGTGACGGACGTGAGTAAATAAATAAACGCGATTGCAATATGAAATATGGATATTGCATTAAAATTGAGTTTAATTTAAATTATTTTTTATTAAACTATAACCATATTTTCTCTAATACGTTTATTCAACATTTTTCCAATAAGATAAATGCATAGAATATTTGTAAAAAAAAGTAATATAAAGTGTACAACAAACGTAATTGTATCGACTTATAATTTGTGGTACAACTTACAAGTGTTGCAGCTTTTAATGCTTCAACCCTCTGTCGTGTACACGGAAACGAAACCACCATCGCTGAAGGCTCTTATCACCGATCCTTACATCATTTTAGCAGCTGGTAAGAAAAATGTCCCCCTCACAAATATAAATTATAACTGACCGATGTTTCGAACAAAAAGATATATAATAATCGATGTTTTAGGCGCAATAACGTTCGCAAATATGGGCATCGCTATGTTAGAACCGAGTCTACCAATTTGGATGATGGACACGATGGGTGCAAGCCGCTGGAAACAGGGGGCCACATTTTTACCAGCGAGCATTAGTTACTTGATCGGAACGAATCTTTTCGGCCCGCTTGGACATAAAATGGGCAGGTCAGTTTGATCGAAATTATAAAAATTGCGACAACGAGAAATTTTTATTTTCTCAAATGCGAAAAATATATAATAATAATAATAATAAAATCATTAGATATACTAGAAGATATATCGCCCGGATAGCTCAGTCGGTAGAGCATCAGACTTTTAATCTGAGGGTCCAGGGTTCGAGTCCCTGTTCGGGCGAGATATCTTTTTGTAAGATGACTCGAAATGTATATCATGTTATGTGCTTATTACAGATGGTTAGCTTCTCTGATAGGATTAGTCGTTATTGGTATCTGCTTGATGTGTGTAAGTAAATTATACTTATCTTATTGGAAAAATGAAATAATCACTACTTGTATCACTGCTGTGATTTATATTAAGAAATTTTGTTAAATTAATCGCAAAATTATAAATCATATATGTATCGTATAATATATATATATATATATATATTGCAAATTATTTAATATTGCAAAAATATATAATCACGTCATAAACTAACAATTACAAATCACAGAATTTCGATAACGAATAAAAGGTTTAATTGAGCTATTTGAGTCGTGGTTTATTGAGTTTAAAGTTACCTGATCTTACATCATGGATTAATCAATTTCCGTTTCCAGATTCCATTGGCGAGGAGTATCGATCATCTGATCATACCAAATGCAGGTCTGGGATTCGCAATCGGCATGGTGGACAGCTCGATGATGCCTCAGCTGGGGTACCTGGTGGACATAAGGCACACCGCTGTTTATGGAAGCGTTTACGCTATTGGAGACGTGGCATTCTGTCTAGGCTTTGCTATAGGTATGTGCATGTACTCGATACCTGTTTTCATTTCACTTTCATTTACTTGAATAACAAAAGAGATAAAAATAGATCTTTCATCCCAGCATTACTGCTACCAAAATATGTGTGTATATGTATATTTTAAATAATATAAAAATTAACAAAAATTTAATTGCATCGGCCGGGAATCGAACCCGGGCCGCCCGCGTGGCAGGCGAGCATTCTACCACTGAACCACCGATGCTTCTGTAAAGCCTTGAGATTCTATTTGATTAACAGGATCAATAGTATCTTTCAGAAATGATAGATCAGTGATATAGCAAGATATAAAAAAAATTACAAGAAAAAGATTTGGCATTAAATAATTAAATATGATTATTTTATGTTGCAGGTCCCGCATTGAGCGGAACTTTGGTTAACACTATTGGTTTCGAATGGATGCTTTTTGGTATAGCCATGTTAAATTTCATTTATGCACCTCTCATGTATTTCCTAAGGGCGCCTCCGAACAAAGAAGAAAAAGAGGTAATATTATATTGCATGCTTTTAAAAAGAAAATATTACTGCGCTGAATTTGTCGTTAATTTTGAATTCTATCAAATTGTAGTCGTTAATAATTGGTGAAAAATCGTCTGTGCGATATGTCACCTACCAGAACGAGGAAGAGGACCAATAAAATAGTGATTCTAAACATTTTCGACGATCGGTTATTTTGATTTCTTAGCACAAAGATCTCTTTTCTCTTCTTTTTTTTTTAAACATACTCTGAAAAAGAAAAATCTGTATTATCTTATTATCTGTGTTTGTATATATTATTAATTTTTATATATATTTTAAAAAATATTTCCCCAAAAATTATTGATGACTGAGAGATAACAATTTATTTATTATCTTTTTTTTTTTTATTATCATATTTCTTATTCAATATATTTAAACTTGTTCCAATAAATGATAAGAAGCTACAAACATCGACAATAAGCACAATTGTTGACATGCACTTGATAATATTTGGCAAACGTACTGTACAATTATTTATAATCAAGTAAAGTTTTCCTAATAGACAGACGACATTTTTGGAGAAAAAGACAAATGATCTCTCTTAAAAATAGATTTGGAAAAGTCGCACAACACCACACTTGATATTTATAAAAATAATATATACAATCTATAAACAGATCGCGCTATAAACGTCCGAGAACCCACGGGAGATTTCGTGTTCTCGAATAATTCCGAGATTAGCCGTAATGAGGATGGATATGTTGTGAAATATATTTCTGTGTATTCTGCATCATCGATATCTCGATATCTAATCGAGTATACAAAAGCGTATTGTATGAGTATACAAAAGAGTATATAAAAGTGTATATCATATATAACAGATAAATAATAATAGAGCTAAAGCCTAAAATAATACAAAAATTGCGAAAAAGCAAAAAAGCTCCTTATGCCGTAGTGTGCGATAGCAAGAAATATGTTTGGTAAACATGTGTTTCAAGATGTGTGTGTATATATATATATATATATGTATATACACATATGTACATATATACATATATATAAAATAAAAAAAGAACCGACACATAATGAAAAAGTTACTCTTAAATGTAAAACCTTAGCTTCAGTATGCATACCACATAAGGCTCGTCGTAAAAATAAGTGCATGAGAAAATATATTGAAAGTATGATGTGCAATGTTACAGGATCAGAAGATATGTAATATAGTTATACGATTGATCGAACTGTATGTAAACGAGAAAAGATATGATAATAGGTATCGCGTGATCGGTATATCGTTTGTCCAGCACCTTCTTCGATAGGTAACGAATCATTGCAAAATTTATTCTTATCAGGAAGAACTGCCCGATTTGGTTTCCCTGAATGGCTGCAGGGAAACCAGCAAAAGGAACGGTCGGGTATTTTAAAGTGTTCTTCGTACAATGCGGTTATGTTTTGAAATCGAATATATTCTTGTCGCAAAAATAGAGAATGTGACAATTCGCGCGAAGCATTCTGGTGCATACGATTTATCGAAACTCGCTGATCCTATCGTCATGAGCGATATAAAGGAGGATAAACCGTGAGAGAGCTTGTCGCAATTCCCGGCGCTTCTCGATAAATTCTTCGAGATTAATTTCTGTTTTCCCAATTTCAATGCATACTGGAAAGAATATATAGAGAATACCGTGGGATTTGCCGCGATAGAAATTAGTATACCTAAACTTATATAAAATAAAGAATGCAGAGAGAAAAAAAAGAGAGAGAGAGAGAGAGAGAGAGAGCGAGAGAAAAAAAGAATGGAGTAGAATAAAATAGAGTAGAATAGAGACAGAGTATGAAGCGTTGGCAGAATTTGCGAATTATATGATAAACTCTATGAGGATTCGCCGCGGGAAACTCTAGTTGTGACGATTTATTTGTTTGACGATTGGAAAGACGGTAAGATCTGCCGACTGGACCCCGTAAGAAAATAGAACGTTCGTAGAAGCAATATAGAGAATAGCGTAGCAACGTATTATCCGTATTAAGCCTATTATATCTACTATATATACGAAATCTATACGTGTCTATATCTATGTATCTTCACGTAAATGTTATTTGGAAAATTGTCGTGTATTTATTACCTATCGGCATCTCGTTGCTATATTATTCGTATATACGACCAAATATCTTATATATGACGGTGAGCACAGAGTATATACTTGTTGAGATCCTAAGCTACTAGTCTCGTGAGATACGCTCTCAAGAAAGCGATATATTGTTGATATAATCGCACGTAAGAAATTTGTGATTAGATGATAGCGCGTTTGCTTATTACCTGGACATTCAATCATCTCTAATTGTGAGCTTAGTGCTAAAAATCGTGAAACAGTGTTGAAACGCTACGAGAGCATATTATCATAGAAAAATGTAGAAAGCTATAAAAGTAATGAAGAGTTATAGAGTCTCCATTAACGCCGTGACAACATGTACTGGAATTTTCTTGATATCTTGTCAAAAATCTTGTTGGTATAGCTAGACGACAAATAAACGGGGTCCGAAAAGGCGTGATAGAGGAAAGAGCGATAACACGTGATTAATTATGGCGATTCACTACAGCTTTCCACTGCGGATTCCGATTACACAAGGTGCGTAAGAGAAATTTTTGCACACCTACTCCCGGTACGAAACGCGAGTCAATTCGATTCGCGAATTCTTTGTCAACGCTCGCTTCGTCGCGATATACGTATACATATACTTAAAAATGTCTATGAGAATCTATATAAAAAGAAGGCGCAAAACACTACACAGGAGATGAGTGTAAGAAAATTAAGAAAAATAGAGATAAAAAAAAGTATGCGAATTGAAATTCTGACGATTTTTCGAGCCGCGCGCGTATCAATATTAAAAATCAAATTTTTTTTCTTCCCCTCAGTTTAATTAGTTGCATTCTCGTTTTATTTTTGTTCGTATTATAAATATTTCGTTCTGCGCCATATATTTTAGCATCATCATTATTATTATTATTCTTGCTTCAATAATAATAGTAATATCGATGAGCGCGACAGTATACTTTACTATCATTTATTGAACGTGATTCAACGTTAATGCATGATTTTAAACTATGGTACTATATTGCATAACAAACTACCTAACTGTAAATATAGTAAAAATAACTAACGTTGTCGCCGCTGAGATACCTTAAAAAGGATGTTGTAAGACCGATTTCCTATAACTTCGGTGAATTTACTCACATTTTGAATTTACTCTCCTATGCAATATCTACATATATATGTATATATGAAGCTATATATTTATATGGAGAGACATACTTCGGTTATATTTATTTAAATAATTAAACTCATAGATATGAGAGAAATTATTTGCTCATATGTGTCGTTAAAATTATCAAATGATTTTTTGTTTATATTAATTTTAGAAACGGAATTTTACAGGAAAGACACTGAAATCTATTCTTCGTTTTTTCTATTAAAACTTGGGCATAGGAAGGATATATCTATATCTATACTACGGTTATGGTCGTACTAGTCTCAATCTCTTGCGTTGGAATTCGATACTTGTACACGCTTACCAGAGTTTAATCTAAAATAAAAAAATAATTGCATTAAGTAAATGGTATGATTCTCGACAAAAAAATAAGTTAGCATAAAAAATGACTTATAATAAACTTTTCATTAATCAATAATTGTGTATTTAAATTTAAAACATAGCTAAATAAAAAAACATGCACGCGACAAATTTTTTCAGGCAACTTAATATGTATCACTTGATAACTTCACGATTATCGATAATAATTCCAAATCGCAAATTGTTGTTGAAAACACTATCGCTATTACATTATTCTAGTATTGCAACAGATCTCTAATTCGAATGGAAGAGATTCATAACGAATTATTATATTTTAATAATACGAAGAACGATCCGATTCAGAAAGAAACAGCATTTTTGAATGAATTATTATACATCGAAGAAAGTAGCAGACTGTGTATAGTTGTTTCTTATCGGAGGCAGATTATTTGTGTAAATCTCTCATGTAACCATTCAATCCATATCGACTCGGCCGGCGGCGGCCGAGACCTATTGTACGAATTGCAGATGCAATCAACGTGACTGTGTTAATCGAAGCAAATCGTAAGGGGAAAAAAATCTGTAAAGCACGTGTCGCGCGAATCGACTGCGATTTCGGTCACGCAACACGTGCTTCCGGCAAATGCAAAATAACGTATATACGATACCAGTCGCACACATAATTGTTACCTGACAAACGACTTGTGACCATAATTGGCCGCTACTTTGCCATCGTGAAAGGCACGATAAAATTCATAGTCATGACTGTCAACTCTGCCAAACGAATAGATTTTACAAAAAAAAAAAAAAAAAAGTCGAATTAAAAAATATTGATTGGATTTATTTTTTGCATTTTTAATTTTAAATTTCCAATTCTACTATATGGGTACAGACAATTTTTTCCTTTATATATTTCTCTGAATTAAATAATTAAATAATTCTATAATAATAAGTAAACATATGTACGCTATAATCAATTTCTTTTTATTTCATAACATTGCATATTTAATTATAATGCTAATAGTTTATTTAAAAAAAAAAAAAATAGAGAAATTATATTTGACTGCTTTGAAGCATAGACATACAAAACGATAATTAATATATTGAAAAGGACGAAAAAGAAAAATTCTATTTATTCATCTATTCTTAATTTTAACCATCTTAAACTGATTTTAATTTTGAAAATGCAAAATTTTGTAGCTTTTGAATTTAACACAATAAATTTGTATCGATTTCTTTTATTTAATTCACATATTTTTT